CGGACTGACTATTTGGAAGCTCGGGCAATGCCCAAGGGCCCGGGGTGAGTAGGGGGCCCCATGAGATGCCCTGGTGCCTTTTTCATAGGCTTTTTTGAGTTTGGGCAAGGACACAGGGGCCCCATGATCCCCTATTGCCCGGGGCCCCATGAGTTGTCAGTCCACCCCTGCTCATGGGGGCCCCTGTGTCCTTGCCCAAACTCAAAAAAGGTACCAGGGGCATCTCATGGGGCCCCCTACTAAACCCGGGCCCTCGGGCAGTGCCCAAGTTTCCAATGGTCAGTCCGCCCCTGGTTAAAGGCTAAGTATACCTTTCTGACTACTTACATATTTATATTGTAACAGCAAACAGGGTCACAGTCCACGGCACCCCTCCCTCCTTACGAAATATGGGGGTTCTTCTCCCCACACACATTTTCATTCATTTGATGTGGGCTCTGTGCAGTTTTGCTCGCCCAGCTATGTCATCCATCCACAGAGATCTGTGTGATTCTGTAATGTTGCTTTAAAAACTCTTGGCTGGCAGCTCTGTTAAAACACGTATAGACTTGGATGTTGTTTTGAAATTTTTACAAATAAATCTTTCCTATATTTTTTATTTGATGCAAACATGTGGAACCTAGTGAAGAGATATAAAAAAAACTGCATGCAAAGCCTTTGTGTTCTATTCTTTCATCTGGCACCAACCAGTGTTATTACTGTGCCTTTTCAATACCGATATTTCTCACATAACACATACCTGCATATACATTTTACTCAATCATCATATTTACATTTTTCTTGGCAAAAGAAAGAATCACAAGACTTGTTCGAAGTCACAAGAACTGATGCGTCATACTTCATTTTGCAGACGGCTCTGTTCTGACCACAAGATGACCCCAACTAAAGTTCATAAAATGTGAAAAAGTGAAATCTATAAAAGTATTATTCTGAAAGCTCAGTCCCTGATACAAACATGTACGTAAAGAATTAAAAAAAAAAACTGAAATCAAATGGCAAAATCCAGGTCCGGGTCGTGACCTATAAGCTGAAAAGCAGAGAAACATAATTAGCTGGTGATGTAGGTCACCAGTACACTACAATTTATGGCACCCATAATGTTGGTGCCATGTTAGGGGAGGTGTGCGAGTTTCCCCCTCCTAGTCTAAGGGCAACATATAGTGTACAAACAATGTTGTCATTTATGAGGCATTGACGTTCCTGGATAAGTAAAGACAGCATGCACACTGTTCACAGTATATTCACATGGCACACTACAGCTTATGTACTATGCAGCATTTACGTGTATAGGGAAACCTATCCCACTCCTCCATGTAAGCAGGAGTTAGTACCCCTTTTAATGAGGTCCCTCATGTGAGTAAAGCTGGTGGGTGGAGTTATACATCCCTATATATTTTGGAGTGGGAGGAGTCTAGGACAGAGGTGTAATGGGAACAGGCTACTACTGATATACACTCTAAGTTTAATGTAAGTCTGCACCCTTCAAGGTAGGCCTAAGTAGACTCAGGAGGAGAACCAACCTATGGGGTACCTGTGTTGAGGAGAACGGAAGAGTTGGCTGGACATTCTGTGTTAATATGCATTTACAATGTGGTGCTGGACCTAAAGCTGTGAAGGCTGGATCTACAGTACTGTTGTGTTTCTGCCACAGTAAAATCTTGTTAAAAGGCTGTATAAGTGGACATTCCATTATTACCAAAGGTGAGTCTCAGGCCAGGAGAATGTAAGTAACTCAAATGGCGGAGTTTCTTCCCATTACAAGTGTGTGTGTACCCTATCTCATTATTAGCATGAAGAAGATGGGAGGTGTCTTTAGCCTGCTTGGGGGGAACTGGCAGCGAATCAGGGCTGCCAACATTTGACGTAGTTGGCAGGATGGGTTGCATCACAAACTGGAGCAGATGTGTTGGCCATGTTGAGCATGAGAACAAGTAGGAGTCACCCGGCAGTGTAAACAAACTGCAGCTGCGATCAGGGGCGGACTGACAACTCATGGGGCCCCCGGGCAATAGGGGATCATATGACCCTTTTGTCCTTGCCCACACTGAAAACACACCCAAAAAAGCCTATAAAAGGCATTTCATGGGGCCCCCTACTGACCCCGAGCCCTCGGGCAGTGTTCGAGTGTTCGAATGGTCAGTCCGCCCCTGGCTGCGATGTACTCGTGGAAGAGAGCTGCTCAGCAGGGGGTTAAGCCCCAAATTGTTATACTGATTTTTTGAGGTTTTACAGTATACACTGGACTGCGGGTGGCCCCACGCAAAGAGTTTACCAGTTGCTGAAAAAGGGTGAGTGAAACCTAGGTGCCAGAATGCCTATACTGTGGATAGTTGACTGCATCCATTGAACCTTGGGTGTGATGCGGGAGATGTTGTGCATTCCTCTTTGATATTCTCCACAATTGCAAGCAACCCTGTCAGTGGAGAGTGTCCTGGGAGGAGGATGCTGTCTGGGAAGAGGTTGTCAAACCCAGACACATCCATCACATTGCTAGACAGAGAAGTGTGATTCATCACTCCAGAGAACACGTCTCCGCTACTCTAGAGTCCAGTGGCGACGTGCTTTACACCACTGCATCTGACACTTTGCATTGCACTTAGTGATGTAAGGCTCGGATGCAGCTGCTTGGCCATGGAAACCTATTCCATGAAGCTCTCTACACACTGTTGTTGTGCTAATCTGAAGGTCACATGAAGTTTGGAGGTCTTTAGCTATTGACTCTGTGGACAGTTGGCGACTTCTATGCACTGTGTGCTTCAGCATGCGCTGACCCTGCTCGATCATTTCACATGGCCTATCACTTTGTGGCTGAGTTGCTGTTGTTCCCAGTTGCTTCTATTTTGTTATAATACCGCTAACAGCTGAGCGTGAAATATTTAGTAGCAAGGAAATTTCCGGATGGACTTATTGCACAGGTGGCAACCTATGACGGTACCACGCTTGAATTCACTGAGCTCCTGAGAGCGACCCATTCTTTCACAAATGTTTGTAGAAGCAGTCTAGGTGCTTGATTTTATACACCTGTTGCCATGGAGGTGATTGGAACACCTGAATCAAATGATATGGAGGGGTGTCCCAATACTTTTGGCTATATTGACCAAAACAGTTTTAGAAATAGTAAAACTGTCTAAACTGTTATGAAAAATAAAAATACTGTGAAATATCCTTTCATAGGAATGGATCTATTGTGCGCTATTTAAACGCTTCTACATAGGAGCGTTAAAATACGGAACTACATGAGAGCCCTCTAGTGGCTCATGTATTATTTGTCTACAAGATGGAATATTACTAAGGAGGCTTGTTATGATTAAAAATCTGTTTATAAAAGCTTGCTCGGGATCATGTTTGTCATATCTATTCATTAGTTTAACACATTTAGCACCCACAGTGTTTTAACCATTTTCTTTTAATCAGCTTTTACATTTTTCCACAAGCAGCGAAACTGGAAATTAAATAAACAAACTTGCAAGATGAGTAAAGTACTTTACCAGTAGGGTACCTAATTACTTGTAATATATTTCTGCATGTAAAATTGAGCATTTGTTGCCCACAAAACTGTAAAAAACTGTTACCCAAATTTGTCCATAGGGGACAATTAGCAAAGCTTAGCAGCTCATCGATTTAACGTGAAGGAGTATGTAAACCCCACATTTCCTATTCCATTATCTGCCTGCTGTAGCATGTACTTGTATGAAAAAGTATCCTGTTCCCTTTGTATTGTTTCCTTTGTGTAAAACACCTTACAGAAAATTGTCTCCTATGGGACTTGAATTCATATAATGTGTACCTCTAGGATTTCAAGGCGACTATTGAACGACTTTTATCTGTCACTCATAGCATGTTCTGTTTGTTCTTTTCATGCAGGTGCCCCTATTACCCCCGATGAAGATTGTATACATCAATTGAAATGTAGTGGGGATTTGTGGCTAAATAAGATCTTGAGGATACTATTGGTGTATGATTTATTATATGCCCATAGTTTAGGGGAACACATAATATGAAAGTACACTTTCAAAACCAGTGTATCTATGCGATAATGTTTTTATGGAGTGATTTTATGAAGTTTGTACAATAAAGTTATGTATTTTATGTACTGTTGGGGTCTTGGCTGCATTAAAGTCCCATGGAAGACAGGTTTCTGTATAATATAGTCAAGGGACGTGGCAGCCCCTGGCTCATTGATGATTCAACTACCCCTATTTGTGTGAATTCCCTGGTGTTCCTGCCAGTCCCTCTATTTTCCTAATAAAAACTGACTACACTAGGCAGGAGAACACAGCGTGGTCAGTTCTCTAGCTCTGCTGGGAACTCGGGTTTATTTACTAAAGTTGTTTAACTCAGAATTCGGTGCAGCAGTGCATGGTAGCCATTCAGCCTCTAACCTCAGCTTGTTCAATTAAGAATGAAACCTGTAAGCTGATTGGTTTCTATGAAGAAGTGCACGAGATTCTGAGTGAACTAGGTTTAGTAAATAAACCCCTCAGTGTGCTCTTCTTCAATATTCAGACTTGTCCTGACACCCCCTACCCCACACAGCCATTCACTAGGAAGATCAGTATTCTGCTGTTTCTCCTCCCCTAGCTTTTATGCAGCTGAGAACAGAGGGTATGTGATCACTTAACCTAGACGCCTAGCGGCTGCACATTTGCGTGCAATTAACAAAAAAACATATGTGCTGAGAGTGCACACCCTGCGCGCTCCCAGCACACATGCCTGGTACTCACGGAAAGGTCCCGGTCTGCTCTTTTCAATCGAGACCTTTCCCAATCATGTGACCGCCATGATGACATGTCACAGCGGTCACATGATCCGGCTTCTGAAACTCTTAAAGGGCCGGGAGGCGCTAGAGGGAAGGGGTTAAAGAAAAGGTAAAAAGAGGTTTATAATTTTTTTATATCTACACACAAATGTTTTACCTTTCAATTCTATTTTAACCACCTCCCGCCCGCCATATAGTAATAGTATAGGTTCTCTCATTCTGGGAGGACGTCATATGATGTCCTCCCAGTCTCACTGCGTATGCGTGGCTCAGGGAGCGCGCAGCGCGGCGATCACCGATCACAGAAAGAGCCGAAGATCTCGGCTCGGTCATGTGATCAGCCGTGTCCAATCACAGCTGATCACATGTAAACAGGGAAATGCCAGTTATCGGCATTTCTCTCCTCTCGAGCTGTCACGCTGACAGCTCGTGAGGAGAGGAAAGCCGGTAATCGGCTTTCTGCAGAGGGGACATGTACACTGATCATCAGGGCACTGATGATCAGTGTGCCCTATGATCAGTGTAGCCCCAGCAGTGCCACCTGTCAGTGTCCATCAGTGCCTTGTGTCAGTGCCCCTCAGTGCCACATCAATGCCACATATCAGTGCACATCAATGCCACATATCAGTGCCCATCTGAGCTGCCTTTCAGTGTCACCCATCAGTGCCAGTCAGTGCCACCTATCAATGCCAATCAGTGCCAACTATCAGTGCTGCCAATCAGCGCCACCTATCAGTGCCAGTCAGTGCCACCTATCAGTGCCACTCAGTGCTGCATATCAGTGCCTGTCAGTGCCGCCTATCAGTGCCAGTCAGTGCCGCCTATTAGTGCCAGTCAGTGCCGCCTATCATTGCTGCCTATCAGTGCCATATATCAGTGCCATGTATCAGTGCTGCCCTTTCAGTGCCCATCAGTGATGCCTGTCAATGCCCATTAGTGCCACCTACCAGTGCCTCCTCATCAGTGCCCATCAGTGCCACCTATCAGTGCCCATCAGTGCAGACTCATTAGCGCACATCAGTGAAGGAGAAAAATCACTTATTTACAAAATTTTATAACAAAAACTAAGAAAAAAACATTTTTTTTTTTCAAAATTTTCAGTGGTTTTTGGTTTGTTTAAGAATAAATAAGAAACCCAGAGGTGATTAAATACCACCAAAATATGCTCTATCTGTCACAAAAAAATGATAAAAATTTCATATGGGTAGAGTGTTGCATGACTGCGCAATTGTCATTCAAAGTGTGACAGCGCTGAAAGCTGGAAATTGGGCAGGAAGGTGGTATAAGTGCCTTGTAGGCTAGCGGTTAAACTGAATGGGTTGTTTTACAAGGTGAGAGTTTACAACCACTTTAAGGCTACTTTCACACTAGCGTTGTGTGCAGGCGGCAGAGAGGCGTTTGTGAAGCGTTTTTACCGCTTCCCAAACGCCTCTGCCAATTCTGCACATTACAGCACATGGTGCTGTTCTAACAGGAGCATTTGCGTCGCATTGCGTCACGGCAAAACGGACGCCTCTGGTCGAGTCAGGAGGCATTGAACCCTCCTATTCTTGTCTATGGTGCCGCTCCGCAAACGTTTCAGGTGCGGTTGCGACGCAGTTGCGGGGCGTTTGCGGAGCGGTAACACCACTCAAACTGCATTATAGGCGTTTGTGGGGCGTCATTAACGCTCGGCAAATACCTAGCAACCTCCTAGCAACCCCTAAACCGCACATGCGGCGTTTGCCGAGCATTAAAAAACGCTCTGCAAACGCCAGACCAATGCTTGCCAAACGCTATAGGGGCGTTTGGCAAGCGTTGGTAAAACAGCCAAGTGTGAACAAGCCCTAACATTGAAGGATGGCTCTAGAATTATTGTTGTCGTTCCATTGTACACGGCCATAACTAACATACACTTAGGTGGGCACCCAATGCATACTTCTGTATTCCTATGTGTGGGTACAAGAGGGGGGAGGCTTTTACAACATTTTTGGTTTAATTGATTTAATTTTTAAAACTTTTTTTATATACTTTTTTTTATACTTGAAGCGTGTAATAAACACAAAATACTACACTTAATATATTGCAGCTTACCAATTCTTAACTGTAGTGGCTGAAATTATTTTTTCTTTTTTTTTAGGCTTTTGTTCCTTTCTATTTCACTTGGTGATCTGGCCAGTGACACACTTCCTCTCTAAGGGTGGCTCCACCCTGGATGGAGGAGAAACAGAGCCACCATTGGACAGCAGCATTGACAGCCTGGAGATAGGGTAGTGTTGTGCTAGCAAATTTAGACTTATTTGACTAGTAAATTAATGCAGAACTATAGCTAAAATTTTTAAAGTAGTATCAAACCCAACAGCAAACATTTATTATATTGCAGCTTACCAACTTTTTTCCATTTTCTTTCTCTTTCTTCTATTTTCATCTGGTGATCCAGCCAGCAAGTCTGTTGTTTTTCAAAAGCACAAGCTCTCCAGTAGAATGTATCTGTTTACATGGATGAGACAAACCATTAAACACTGGCAGGGGTGGTTTAAATGATCAGATTTTATTTATTTGTGTGAAGCCTTATCCTAAAAGGAAAAGACTGTTTGCTGTAACTGATTACAAAGTGTGAGCTGGAGTTTGGCATTAATTAGATAGTGTATTTAAACCTGCTAATACATTTAATACATTTAGCACTCCCCTCTTCCCCAGACTGACATTGCTGCTGTCTGCAGTGTCTGTACTCATTCATCCAGAGTGGTATCTCTCTGGCTAGATCACCAGGTGAAAACAGAAGGGAAAAAAGAAAAAGAAAGAAAATTAATGTAGCAACCACCACATCTAATGATTGGTAAGCTGCAATATATTACATTTTAGTTTTGGGTTTAATGCCGCTTTAAGCAGTTACAAGCAACACTTTTTTTTCCATTTCAGATAAAGGTTTTACATAATCGAATGAAAGCTGACTATTGTAAGCACCCCTGCCAGTGTTTAATGGCATGCTCCATCCCCCAAACTGCCACTTTTTCTGGACAGCCTGTTCTGTTAAAGGAAATTTGAAATATTACAGACTTACTGGCTGGCTCATCAGGTGAAAAATAAAGGGGAAGACAAACTAAAAAAAAGAAAGTTAATGCAGCCACCACCACTTAGGAATCAGTCAAGTGATATCTACTAATATCTTGTGTGTGTGTGTGTGTGTGTGTGGGGGGGGGTAATACTGGTTTAACTTTATTGTTATCACAAGGGTCTGACAAGCAATAAGAATATATATTACAGGTACGCATATAGCACCATCAATTTACACAGTGCTTTACATATAGATTGTTCATTCACATCAGTCCCTAGCCCTCAAGGGGTGTACAATCTAAGGTCCCTAACTTACATTCATACATACACATACTAGGGACAATTTAGACAGGATCCAGTTAACCTACCAGCATGTCTTTGGAGTGTGGGAGGAAACCAGGGCACCTTGAGGAAGCCCATGCAGGCACAGGGAGGGCATGCAGGCTCCAGGCAGGTGGTGCTGTGGTTGGGATTTGAGCCAATGACCCGAGTATTGCCAGGTGGAAGTGTTAACCATTTACCCCCTGTGCTGCCCCATAGGCAGCGTCTTTAAGAATAAGCAATTTTAACTAAAGGTAAGGCTGGATTTCATCTTTAAGGTTGTCATTAGAGTGCCATGGACCTTAAACAGCTAATGAGTAAGAATGAGTGGGGTGATTTCAGTAAAAGTGATTTTGCTAAAAATGTATGATTATTTCTAAAGATGAAATACACTTTCCCCATTAAGCTTCTTGGGTGAATGTTGCTTGTATTTGTGCTTTCTCCTTTTTGTGAACTGTAACTTTAATTTTATTCAACTTTCTGTGAACAAAATGTAAAATGAGAGCTTAGCTAACCCTCAGAAGCTATTTAAAGAGCATTGCCCCCTAAAACCACCTAAAAATGAGGTGTTTTACCATACAGGCTAGTGTTAGTGCCAGTTCTGGCTGAACATGGGCCGATACACATTTAAGACGCGATGCAACGCATCACATATCACACTAGCGTCACAGTGTGAACAGGGCTGTTAAAAAACAATTGTTTTCTACATGCCCTAGCAGTGACCTGCATTTATTCAGGGCAGAAAAATTGCAGGTCATGGCACGTAGTGTGAACACACTCTATAGGGATTGTGCCTAAGCAGTACCTTGAAAAATGTACCTTTTGTGTGGCATTCTTCCTGAAAAATAGAAATGCACTTCCTGCTATGTGAGGGAGTCTAGCGACTCCTGTACCTAAAGCCTCATAGCTGTTTATCTGCAGTGTGAGATCTAAGGTACGGCTGTCTCTGACTGCTAGTATAAAGAGATTTGGTGATGTCACTGTTGTGCTGCTCAGTGTTCTCCTTGCTGGAGGCAAGGAAGAAAAGCCCTGCCACTAACAAGATGGCTGCCTCCACACGAAGACACAGGGCATGGTAAGTTAGTAATAGAGAAAGATCAGCTGCAGGGAAACCAGAGGTAGTAATGGAGACTAGTCATTTGCCTTTCGCATTCCTTTTTTAGTCATAGCCTCCAGAGTTCAGCTCCTCTTTAAAGTGTATGTTACTCAAAAATGTCATATTCCTGATATGTGTCTGTTGTACCATGTACTTGTATTTAAAAGTATCCTGTTCTCTTTACATTGCTTCCTTTTTGTGAAGTACCCAGTGATCCCACCAGTGCCATTGCTTTCCTGTTTCAAACTGATCACATAAGCACATCCATCACAGTGTGGTCAGTTTTTATCTTTCTATTCTACTTGGGAGCACAACCTGCCTCTCCTCTAATGATCTGACTCCTGCTGACATGCCCTCCTGCACAGCTTTTCACTGGGAAGATCAGTGTACTGCTGTTTCTTTGCCTCATGCTGACAGGTCCCCTGCAGTTTCCACCCCCAGCTCTAAGCCCCTTATGCATCTGAGTGATGCAAAGATTTACAAAAAGCCCCAAAAGGTGTAGCACTACCCCCTAAGTACAGCATATTGGGGGGGCATATACAATGGCAACACATACAGAAAAGGTGCATTGGCATGTGTTGTGATTTGGACCCTCATTTTACCTTTTTCACAGCAAGAAAACAACAGAAAAATGTAATAAAAAATAAAAAGTGCCAATATACAAATAATCAAATACACAGGAAAGGAAAAAGAACACTATTTGAAATAGAGAAAACTACCCTGAATATGCCTTCCAAAAACACAACTGGGGGAATTCAATAAGGAACTACGGATAGTTTTCTAGCATTATAACCCTTTAAAAACTGACCTAAAAAAATCCCTACCGCCTGCTTCGGTAGCTTTACTGACACATGCAGCAGGTTTAGGTAGTTGTAAAAGTGCCACATCTACAAAGCGGAGGTATTAATGCACCAAATTAAATATAATTATCCCCAGTTTGTAGGTAATAAAACTGGAGGCAATTAGGTCCTACTGGAGAGTGTCTATCCCATGGCTGGATCTAGAGGGTGCTGGGGTGGGCTATGCCCCCCACAATTTCAGCTGCACCCCCCCAGGCAGACTTTATCCACTGTCTGCAGTGGCTCACATAGCCCAGACAGCACACATCCCCCTCCCCTTCCTTGTATGGACAGGAGAGGAGAGAGGAGATTGATGTACACTGCCTCTTCCTGCCCCTCTCCTCCTATCTGCCCCGCCCACACTCCAACTCCTAACCAGTGCTGAGCCTGAGAAGATGTGTGGGTGAGAAATTTCAAGTACTGCAGGTGACAACCAGTGGTGTATTTTGGTTTTATGCTGCCCTAGGCAAGACTAAAA